GTTTCACTCTTGTTGCCCAGGCTGGGTCACCATCTCAGCTCTCTGCAACCTCTGTACCTCGCAGGTTCAAGAGATTCTACTGCCTCAACCTCCCAAATAGCTGGGATTACAGGCATCCACCCCATACCAGCCTAATTTTTTGTATTTTTAGTAGAGAAGGGGTTTCACCATGTTGGCCAGGCTGGTCTCGAATTCCTGACCTCACGTGATCTACCCGCCTCTGCCTCCCAAAGTGCTGGGCTTTCAGGCATGAGCCACATTGCCTAGCCTAATTTTCATTCTGTAAAAAAACCATTGAGGAACTAAGAAGAAGAAAAGTGCCAAATTACACTTGTGTCCCCAAAATATGTTTGATTGTAAGTGAAAACTCTGCAAGAGTATATAAACAGAATAAATAATACATTACCTCACTAACAACCATATCAAATATGAAATTTGAAAGCTGTATTTTTATTTATTTATTTATTTATTTATTTATTTATTTATTTGGTAAAACTAGCAATGAGCCTTGCTTGTAAGGTCTAGTAAAGTCTAATGTGTGTTGCCCTGAGAAGTTATGTAGGCAGTAGAATACATGCAATGTACTGGAAGCCATTAAATGAAAGAAATGAAGTAGGTTAAAGTTATATGCCAATGTCACTTTTTAAAAATATATGTTTTTTCTTTTAAAATAGAGATGAAGTCTCACTGTATTGTCCAGATAGTCTTGAACTCAGGGGCTCAAGCAGTCCCCCTGCCTCAGCCTCCCAGAGTGCTGGAGTAACAGGTGTGAGCCACTGTGCCTGGCCTTTTTTTATTTTTCATATATATATATATATATATATATATATATATAGAGAGAGAGAGAGAGAGAGAGAGAGAGAGAGAGAGAGGTCTCACTATATGCCAATGCCATTTTAAAGTGTTAATTCCATCCTGCTCAGTGAAAATAGACTATTGTATGTACAGTGTGATACTTACTGTTTTGTGTGAATTAAATTGAAACTCTAAAAATAGTTTGTAAAGTAAAAACCCCTTGCATGCTGATCCTAATTATTTCCCTGTGCTCTCAAAGGACAACAGAATTATCTGTCAGAAAATAGTTACTTGGCTGTCTTACCCCCATTAGCCAAATCAATATATTAGATATGGAGAATTTGAGCTAACAGGGACATGTAGATGTTCAGTAAACATTAAAGCAATTAATTATTAAATCAGTCTACATCATTTACTGACCAGGAAATACTGTACTGAGTCTCAGTGATGTTTAGCAAACAAAGAGTTTTCAGTTAAAATAGATACTAATTTCCAGGTTTAACTAAATCTAAATATAGAAAAAGATTCATCGACCCTTAAGTTATCCTAGTGGAAAGAATAATAGACGGTTAAGCACACACAATATACAGAAAATTGAGCATTTCTTTTGTCTTTAACTGGGAGATGACCCAAGATTTCACTAATTATTACAGGGAGCTAACCTGATCCTTTACTGAAACGCTATTTTCACTCTTCTCAAGAAAGGTTCATACCATGTCTTCGCTTGCTTTAATCACTGTGCTGGAGAGAAGAGTACAACACTTTCGCAAACATTGGTGTTACAGATCGTCATTTAATTTGTTGCTAATTTTAGTTCTTCTTGAGTTACAAATCTCAGTTTTATTATTACATCCTTTTGTCCTATCCAGTCTTTTTTTGCTTTTTGTTTTTTTGAAACAGGGTCTCACTTCGTCACCCATGCTGGAGTGCGGTGGCGTGATCTCGGCTCACTGCAGCCTCAACCTCCCGAGGTTCAAGAGTCCTACCTCAGCCCCACCATGTAGCTGGAACTACAGGCAGGTGCCATCATGCCTGGCTAATTTTTGTATTTTTTGTAGAAATGAGTTTTGCCATGTTGCATAGGCTTAAGCCATCCGCCCATCTCAGGTTCCCAAAGTGTTAGGATTACAGGTGTAAGCCACTGTGCCTGGCCCTAGCCTCTTTTTTTCTAAGCTAGGTTTTTTTTTTTGCTTTTTTTTTCTTCCTTGAGTTTATGGTTTAGGAAAAAGCTGACAAATGTTGAGTTATATTATTGCTTATGGAGAAGTAAATGGTGAATGGCAGAGATGGCTGTTAAAAGTAATGTGACTTGTTAACCTCGTGCTAAGAGTAACAGAGGTGCCAAAGTTACCTTAAGTATTGAGGAGACTGGATATAAATAACAATACCTTTTAGACCTTTTGTTTAAGGTGTTGTGTAAACAAAAATGCCATGTGTCAATCAACACAGGCCAGTTGACTTTGGTGCAGCCTTTGTCCTTCCAGTGAAAAGTAGCCCTTACTAGAATTCTTCCCTTGTTCATCTAAATCACCTAGTTCCTTTGCCAGTTATTTTATTGTACTCTCAAATCTCCAAAGGCTTTTGCCTTTGGACATCACACCGAAATTTAAGTATGATACAGTTATTTGTAATTGATTTCCTCTAAAAACAGAACATAAGCATGTCAATAAAAGGTATATTCTCTAAAGGTTACAAAAAGTATATAGTATACCAGAGTATTTTAGAAAAGGAAGAGATCATAAAATATATAAATATATTTTTTGAGATGGAGTCTCACTCTGTCCCAGGCTGGAGTGCAGCTCACAAGCAGGTCTCTGCCTCAGCTTCCCGAGTAGCTGGGATTATAGGAGCCTGCCACCTCACCAGGCTGATTTTTGTATTTTTAGTAGAGATGGGGTTTCATCATGTTGGCTAGGCTGGTCTTGAACTCCTGACCTTGTGATCTGCCCACCTGGGCCTCCCAAAGTGCAGGGATTACAGGCGTGAACCACTGTGCCCGACCTAAAATACTTTCATTTACAGAGTAGGTCATGTTTTTTCCATTTAGTAATTTAAATTTTGCAACAAAATCCTTACAAAATGTGAATTTAGACCTTGGGGGAAAATGATTTATAATGCTAAGAATAACATGTTCACAGCTATAAGACAACATCTTTTGTTATTTTTAATATATATTCAAAACACAAAAATGGTTCAGACTAACTTATTACTATTGTTTTAGTTTTAAAATGGGAAATAAGTAGAAATTCCGTTAAGATCTTTTTCTAATGGCACTTAGACAAAAATAAAGTAATTTAGGACATTTCATGGTACTAAAACTCAAAGATGCAATTGAGCCAAGTTCATAGTATGTCTCATAGATGGTGGGCAGTCCTTATTAAAAGTATAAGGAGTCTCTAGAGGTTGTCCAGACTCAAGTTCCCAAACCCAACAGATCATCAGACATAGCCTTTCTGGGCCCTATTTCCATCCTTTCCGAATTTTTTTTAAAAATCTATTTTAAAAGCTAACCAGCTTTGTAACTCCAGGCAACTTTCTAGCCCCAGTTTCTTCATCTAAACTAGGTTGATAACAATCCTCTTGGGTAGGGTTTCTAGTGATTCAGGGCAAACACTTTAAAGTCCAGTAGTTTTCCTCCTAGATGTGGAAATGACATTAAATTCATTCTAATTCATGGTGTCCAAGCCAGGAGTCTTTTACTGCAATTGGAATCCATGCTCAGCTGTTCTAATCTCAGTTGAAACACTATCACTATATCCTGTGAGAATATAGAACCTAAATTCCTACTGCATATTTGTGGATTACCATTTGATTCTTCTGTTAAAATTGTGAGTAAATGTAATTTTTTTTTTTTTTTGAGATGGCATTTTATGCTATTGCCCAGTGCAGTGGCACGATCTTGGCTCACTGCAACCTCCACCTCCCAGGTTCAAGCATTTCTCCTGACTCAGCCTCCTGAGTAGCTGGGATTATTATTGGTGGTACGTGCCACCACATCGGACTAATTTTGGGGTTTGGTTTTGTTTTGAGACAGTCTTGCTCTGTCATCCAGGCTAGACTGCAGTGGCACAATCTTGGCTCGCTGCAACCTTGGCCTCCTGGATTCAAGCTATTCTCCTGCCTTAGCCTCCTGAGTAGCTGGGATTATAGGTGTGCACCTCCACACTTGGCTAATTTTTGTATTTTTAGTATAAACGGGGTTTTACCATGTTGGTCAGGCTGGTCTTGAACTCCTGACCTTATGATCTACCCACTTTGGCCTCCCAAAGTGCTGGGATTACAGGTGTGAGCCACTGCGCCCAACCTAATACTTGTATTTTTAATAGAAATGGAGTTTTACCACATTGGCCTGGCTGGTCTCAAACTCCTGACCTGAGGTGATCCTCCTGCCTTGGCCTCCCAAAGTGCTGGGATTATAGGTGTGGGCTACCACGCCCAGCCTATAATTATAATTTTTAGAAAATATATAACTTTAAGCACTTTGGGAGGCCAAGGTGGGCAGATCACGAGGTCAAGAGATCGAGACCATCTTGGCCAACATGGTGAAACCCCATCTCAACTAAAAGTACAAAAAAATTAGCTGAGCGTGGTGGCACCCGCCTGTAGTCCCAGCTACTTGGAAGGCTGAGGCAGGAAAATCGCTTGAACATGGGAGGCAGAGGCTGCAGTGAGCCAAGATTGCGCCACTGCACTCCAGCCTGGTGACAGAGTGAGACTCTATCTCTCAAATATATATATATTTATATATATAATTTTTAAAATACATATAACTTTTTAAATAAATTGTTAAAATATATATAGAATTTATAAAATATAACTTTAAAAAAGGCTCTTACTCTGTTGTGGCTCGGAGAACATTAATATATCTAAAGAAATCTCCATGCATGTGTGTCTTCAAAGGTTCATATTGCTTGTTCAGCAGGTAATGTTGCTCCTTTACAATTGTTGCCAAAAAGTCAGTAATGCTCTGTAAGTTTCCCAAGGCTGACTGCCTGCACCCTTTGGGTCAATGACATGTCTCTTTTTGTTTGTTAACATTGCAATGTATTATTATAACTAAAACTGTTTCACAGTCAGCATTTTTTGGAGTACACCATGCTACTTGAAGTGATTTAGAGATGCTGTTAAAGAGAGGTTATGGTTTTTAGTGTTTTTTTCTTCTTCTAACTGTAACCTTTTCTTAGGTACACTGATCCTGAAGTACTATGATCTTTCAGAAACTCTGGAGAGACTACAGAGTTCTAGTTGTTATGATCCCTGTAATTGGGCTCATACATTTGGGGTGGTACAAAATCAAAAGCAGCCCTGTTTTCCAAATACCTCCTAAGGATGACTTTCCTGAGCAAGATAGTCTGAAACTTGAAAATCTGCAGAAGAGCCAAATCCAAGGGAAGTAGCAGGCTTGCGGTCTTCAGGTAAGTTTGATTTAATGTGGTTGGTTAATCATATGGTTCATTCCAACAAGGGGAAACTTGATCTTTTAGACCTCTGGCAAAAAAGCCTAAATTGGCTGGGCACAGTGGCTCATGCCTGTAATCCAAGCACTTTTGGGAGGCTGAAGTGGGAGGATCACGAGGTCAGGAGTTCAAGACTAGCCTGGCCAACATGGTAAAACCCCATCTCTACTAAAAATACAAAAGTTAGCTGGGCATGGTGGCATGTGCCTGTAATCCCAGCTACGCTATAGGCTGAGGCAGAAGAATTGCTTGAACCAGGACCCAGAGGTGGAGGTTGCAGTGAGCCAAGATTGTGCCACTGTACCCCAGCCTGGGCTACAGAGTGAGACACTGTCTCAAAAATAAATAAATAAATGAAGAAAAGAAAGAGAGAGAGAGAGTGCCTAAGTTGGCAAGTTACCTTATGACCCACTGGCAAAATACTGTTCTGCAGTTGTTTCTAGAAAAGTTTGCTGTGCAGAGACATTTGACACTTGTCTGGCAGTCATCTGAGTGCAAAGGGAAAGGGCAGTTTTGCTAGTAGCATCCCCAGGATCATGCATGTGTGCAAAGGAGCCCCTGACATTTATGTACCACAAAAGTCTGAACTTGTACAAGATTCTTTTCTTCTATTGTGTCACATATAATGTCTGATCCACTTTTGATGGTGTTGTTGACTTTTTTTTTTTTTTTTGAGACAGGGTTTTGATCTCTCACCCAGGCTACAGTGCAATAGCCTCATCATAGCTCACTGCAGCCTCAAACTCCTGGGCACAGGCCATCCTCCAGCCTCAGCATCCTGAGTAGCTGGGACTACAGCCATCCACCACCACACCTAAGTTCTAAAATTTTTTTAGAACCAGGGTCTTGCTGTATTGCCCAGGCTGGTCTCAAATTCCTGGCCTCAAGCAGTCCTCCGACCTTGGCCTCCCAAAGTGATGGGATTACAGGCAAGAGCTACTACACCTAGCCAGTGTTACTAAGATGAACAGGCAGGTTATCAGCGTTTCTTTCCATTATAAAGTTCCCCTTTGATCTTTGTTGTTGTTTTTTAAGATGGAGTCTCACTCTGTCACACAGGCTGCGGTAGGGGGATCTCGGCTCACTGCAACCTCCACCTCCTGGGTTGAAATGATTCCCTGCCTCAGCCTTCTGAGTAGCTGGGATTACAGGCACCCGCCGCCACACCCAGCTAATTTTTTGTATTTTTTTAGTAGAGACAGGGTTTCACCGTTTTGGCCAGGTGATCTTTTATTTAATAAATTATTAGCAACGATTTATTATTATTGCTGTAACGTAGAAATTCGGAAACTTTTTTCTATAAAAGACCAGATAGTAAATACTTTAGGCTTTGCAGATCATATAGTGTCTATACCAACCCATTAGCTTTCTGTTGTAGTGTAAAAGCACTCAGACACAGTACACAAATTAATGAGCAAGGCTGCTTTCCAATAAAACTTCATTTATGAAAACAGGCCACATGCTGGATACGGTCCATAGGCTTAATTTACCAACCGTTGCATATGAGTCTAATGTACTAGTTCATTAGGGGTTGCCAAATGATGCTGCTCAAATTCTATCATTCCTTCTCCATTTATTAGGTGGAACAACTTCTCATCATCAACTATTCAGTTACCCCAAAATGCATTTATACAAGATAAAGCAAGTTTTATCTCTGTAATTCCCTTTGTTGTCTTTTTTAAATAATAGTGAGTGCTCAAGCAGCTTAGGGTTTTTGTTTTTAGTGTCAGTATGAAGCTGTGGGTTTGTATATGTTTTAATTAATCTATTTCAGTTGCCATTTTTTTTTAATGCTGAAGTTGTGCCATTTTGGATACTCTCCAAGTTGATTCCTGTTGTTTTTTCCTTTGTCCTTGTGTATGATACAGATAGTCTTTAATAACATCTTTACTTTTTGGCAGAAAAGGACGCCAGCTTACCTTGTGTTTCTTACCTCATACCTATAATCAGTCTTTTTGCCAAAGAACTCCATTTGCTTCTAGGAAAAACTTTTACCTGCTCATATTTTCTTTAAATTATATTTTATAGTCCACCTCTTAATTTAGAAGACAGTCATGCAAGTTTTAGTGTTATTTTAATTAAGTTATCCATCACTGTAACAACAACAAAAACCCATCTGCCAAGCCTGTGTGCATCCAGGACTAGTCAGGACCATTCATCTGATGGTAACTCCTGGAAACATGGAGCATCTTATTTAGGAAGAAAGAGTTTTAATAGAGCTGAACTGATACTTCCAAATATATTCTATAAATGGAAATCCAGCCCCAATGGTTTGGGTTTTTTTTCTCTTTCTTAAACCTTCTTTTGTCCAGGTCTAGACCTGTGACCACAGGTCAGCAAGTTTTGGCCTCTTTAAAATGATTTGGAAGTCACTAACGCTTTCATTGATTTTTTTTTTTCTCATTTTAATGAAATACTAGCCAAAAGATGTGTTGACTGGTCTCACGACCATAAGATTGAGAGATGCCAGCATGGCATTCTGTTTCTGAAAAGTTGCATGTCACTATTAAGTATTGAAAAATATTCTAACTAGAAAAATCATTTTCTTAATCATAGTTTTTATTGTGGGTGTATGTGTGTGTAAGTTTTAACTTGCAAATTACGAAGTAGAAATCACTTTGTGAGGCTTCATCTAAATGTATTTCTCAGATTTTGCTGAATCTGAAATAACTGTTGAAATATTTAAGTAGCTTGGCTGTTCCCGTCATAAACAGATTTTTCTTTCCCTCATCACGCTATGCAAAAGTTGACAATAGCTTTATCACCACTGGGAGAAAGCTGATTATCATTGCCCTTAGTTTATTTGGGCCCAGTTGCCATGGGTACAGCCCTTTAACTAAATTGGGAATGGTAACCAAAATAACACTTTGCATAACATTTTCTTGTTCTGCCCACTTCTTTGCACATCTTCAAATCAGGGTTCTGGTCTGATCACCATACTATGCTCTAGCCTACTTTTAGGAAGTACTTTAGGCTAAATAGATTTGTTTTATTTATGCTAAATGCTCTCCAAGAGGCTACCATACTCAGTATATTCCTGGAAATTCTAATAATTATACTTTTAAAACACCAGGGTTCAACAGATAATATCTATTATCTAACATTTTTATTCTTTTCACACATTATTATTGTGTCAGGAATTTATGCCTCAAGGCACACTAATTTTTTTAACAAGGATATTATCTTGTTAAGGAAACTAGAATTGTATTTATTTCTGTGTGTCCATTTGATATATGATAATGTAGTATTTAGACTTTGAAATTGAACGGCAACTCCAGTTTTGTTGTTGTTGTTGTATTCAGCATATCCCGTGGTTTTTCTGTGTACTGTCATTAACGAGTGCTTTGGGGAGGATTGGTTAACTAGGACTTCCAAAACTGAAAATCACTGACCGATAAAGTAAAATGATAGAAAGTTAGCTCTGACTTTAGCCACGTATTTAAAACATGTTTAGTTTTTTGGTGTAATGGGTTGTGTAGATTTATTCAGCTAAATATAGACTACATTAGCGAGTTTCTGCAGTAAACATGCCAACAGCTATCTTGTTTTTATAATTATTTACAAACAGGATTTGATGTAAATGTGCTTCTGTTCAAACCTAAAGTTTCCAAGCAAACCACAGTTATAGATTAAAACAACATTAAATCTTGATGTTGGAGAATCAAAATATTTGGGACTTCTTTTAAGACTCAAAGACCAAATTCTGTGTTTTATATTGTAGCATTTGTCTTCTAGAAACATGCCATATTCAAATAACTGTGCTATAAGCTTTCTAGCAATGTTATGCCTTGCAGAATCACTGAAATACAAGCACTTTTTCTTGTAGAGGGGATTTATTGAAGAAAAAAGAATTTTAAGTCGAAGTTGGTTTACCTTTCTCATTTTTCTGGAGGCTTGTGCCAGTTAGTAGTTCCTTTTTTCTAAAAAAAAAAAAAAAAAAAAGGCAGCAGAGCATTAGAATAAATTATGAAACTGCATTCTACAAAATGCTTGGGAAGTATTTCTCTGAAATGTTTTGTTTTTATTTCTTAGATAAAGAAGCAGCTTTGAATTTGAGCTTCATTTCAAAAGAAGAGATGAAAAATACCAGTTGGATTAGAAAGAATTGGATTCTTGTAGCTGGGATGTCTTTCATAGGTGTCCATCTTGGAACCTACTTTTTACAGAGGTCTGCAAAGCAGTCTGTAAAATCTCAGTCTCAAATCAAACAAAAGAGCATTGAAGAATGAAGTAAAATAAATACTTGGAATTGCTAATTTGTTATTAAATCATTATATGCTGATTTAGCTTCATAAACATTGAACTGTTTGATTTTATAGCCACAATGCTGCATATTTATACTTTAATTCCTAAAGAATAATTTTTTATGTTAACACACGATAATGCAATAAATAGAAAAATATGGTTTACATAGTAAAAATGGTCTTCACAAGTTACCACCTGAAGTAAGATGTCTCGTTTAGATGCTAAAAAGCCATCATTGTGTAAGAGTGAACCACTGACAAGTGAGAGAGTCAGGACCACACTTTCTGTCTTGAAAAGAATCGTAACATCGTGCTATGGCCCTTCAGGTAGGCTGAAGCAGCTGCACAATGGCTCTGGAGGTTACGTGTGCACAACCTCACAGTCCTCAGCCCTGCTCAGTCACCTTTCGGTCACACATCCCATATTAAAGATCCTGACAGCCTCCGTGCAGAATCACGTGTCAAGCTTCAGTGATTGTGGCTTATTCACAGCCATTCTTTGCTGCAACCTGATTGAAAATGTTCAAAGATTAGGCTTGACACCCACCTCTGTCATTAGATTAAATACACATCTTTTGAGTCTCTGCATCAGTTATCTCAAGTCTGAGACCTGTGGTTGTCGAATCCCAGTCGACTTCAGTAGTACTCAGATCCTCCTTTGTTTGGTGCGCAGTATATTAACCAGTAAACCTGCCTGTACACTCACCAGAGCAGAAACAGAGCACATCAGTGCTTTGATTCTGAGAGCCTTTTTGCTTACAATTCCAGAAAATGCTGAAGGCCACATCATTTTAGGAAAGTGTTTAATTGTACCTTTAAAAGGTCAAAGAGTTATAGATTCCACTGTATTACCTGGGATACTCATTGAAATGTCGGATGTTCAATTAATGAGGTTATTACCTATCAAAAAATCAGCTGCCCTCAAGGTGGCACTGTTCTGTACAACTTTATCCGGAGACATTTCTGACACTGGAGAAGGAACTGTGGTGCTCAGTTATGGGGTTTCTCTTGAAAATGCAGTCCTGGACCAGCTGCTTAACCTAGGAAGGCAGCTAGTCAGTGACCACGTAGATCTTGTCCTCTGCCAAAAAGTAATACATCCGTCTTTGAAGCAGTTTCTCAATATGCATCGTGTTATTGCCATAGACAGAATTGGAGTGACTCTGATGGAACCCCTGACTAAAATGACAGGTAAAAATCACTCTTGGCTTTTGCCTTTTACAGTTAATAAATCACACTTTTTTGAGCAGAGATATTTTTGGTTTGTGTCAGTGTTAAAATCATGAAAAGTTTTAGAAGCCACCAACCTCACCACATGTGTCGGTATCATTTCTGGCAGCAAAGGTTTCTGGCAAAGATCCTGTATTGTTCATATACTAAAAATGCAGTGATTATGGCCATTTCGTATGTATTTTTCAGCCCCCAAATGTACTATATTCTGTCATAGTCTAACCCCCAAATATTTCACAGGTTATTGAGAAGTCTAACATCTTCATAATCCTAAGGTCTTTCATACTTCACACAAAATTCTTCAGCTTAATTGACAAAACTTTCAAATCATGTTATATTTAGAAAGTATTTTTGTAACTAGAATGCCCTTTTTCTTCACTTTATCATAATTCCAACAAACTTCTGTACTTCTCCCTAAGTAGTTGTTTCTAATGGGAGGAGAATGTACATGCACCTGTGTTTTACCTTTATCAAAACTGTTCCCAGCTGACCTTGAGGACCAAGATCATCTTTTACTTTCAGTACCTATTACAGGCCTGACCCACAGCAGATGTTCTAAAGTGTTTATTTAATTGACTGAAAAATAATCTGGTAATAGGCAGAACCACAATAGGCAAAAAATTCACTGTATTTTACAAACTCAGCAAATTAAAAGCAGATATAAGAGCTGTTAGAGCCAAAGAAAAATGACAAGCTGAAGAGTTACTGATTTGAGCTACTTTGCAATATTCCTTTAAGTGCTTTGACAATGTATCAGAAAGATGATCATTTAGTCTGCATTGTTCCCCATCTTTAAGTCATTAAACTATTGTTAAAGTTCATTAATAAAAGTCTTGCTATAAATCATCAAAAAGGAGTTGTATGTATGCCAGTGTTAAATACATAATATCTCTGGGTTATTGCCCTACCTTTGTAAGACTCATATGACTGTCAAAGTAGAGTTTCTTAATAATGAAAACAATTCCTTGGAACTCGTTGATATGGTAACCCAGATTGATATCCTTAAATATCTACTAGCTTTGCATGAATCCGGCAATTTCCAGCTTGTAAATACTGGGTCTTCCAGATTCATTTTTAAAATATGGGACATTTTAGCCAGGTGTGGTGCATGCCTGTAGTCCTAGCTACTTGGGAAGTTGAGGCAGGAGGATTGCTTAAGCTGAGGAGTTCAAATTCAGCCTGGACAACAAAGCAAGACCACATCTCTTTAAAACAACAACAAAAATTTTCCCATAGAAACCATGTTGTAACTGGGCGCTGGGTTTCCACACTAGCCCACAAATACATACCTAAAACATGCCATTAACAGCCATAGCTTTAATCCTGGATCTTCAGAGCAGAGACCTTTCAAGAAAAAGAGGAAGAGAGGGGAGAAACTACCAGGCACACAGTGCAGGTAAACTTTTAGGTAGATGAAGTATGTTTTTGGCCTTATATATCTCCCCTAGTGTATCTAAGTTAACATTATCTTGCATCAGGCCTTCAAACAAAATTCCTATTTATTCATGATCTAGGTTGAATAGTGGGTGTTACTGTGCATGGGTGCCACACGTGAAGTTTATTGCGGCTTACAGAGCATTGTTAACATTTGATTTATTTGTGAAGTAAGCATTATTATTCCCACTTGCCTCTGGTGAGAGAGGCAGAAAGTTAAATGACATGAGTGACAGCATCCAGTGGCTGGTAAGCAGTAGAGCCGGGTCTTCTCACCAGAATCTGTTGTTCCCACCGTGTAAAATTATACTATAAAATTGTGGCTTTTTTATTTAGATCACTTCTTAAAGTATTTGTTATTCTTGAAGGCTTCAGAAGTAAAGAATCAGTATTCAAATAAGTGAGATTGTTCAGTGATTATTGATTATGTTCCATACATTTTTTGAGCTGGAAGTGTTTTTAGACATTTTAGACTTTTTTTTTTTTTGCAACAGTCTCACTGTTGCCTAGGCTGGCGTGCAGTGGCGCCATCTCAGCTCACTGCAACCTCCAACCTCCCGGGTTCAAGCGATTCTCCTGCGTCAGTCTCCCAAGCAGCTGGGATTACAAGCGCCTGCCACCATGCCCAGCTAGTTTTTCTATTTTTAGTAGAGATGGGGTTTCACCATGTTGGCCAGGCTGGTCTCAAACTCCTGACCTTAAGCAATCCGCCTCAGCCTCCCAAAGTGCTGGGATTACAGGTGTGGCTGAGCCACCGCACTTGGCCAATATTTTAGACTTTCAAACTAAACACCATTATTTGAAAGAAACTATCTTTTTTTTTTTAAAGGTGAGTCTAAAGGGAAAGGAAACTAGCTCAAAGTGAAGAATGGCTCAGAATTACAGCTTTAGAGTTTAAATTAGCATTGTTTCTTGTAGGAGTTTGCTGTAGATTTCTGAAATAACTTCCATTACATTTGGAGATCTAGAAAATTCAAGTCACCCTAACTTCTTTATTCATATTTTTACTTGTGGTTTACAAAACTTTACTGTTTTACATGTGCAGGTAGGAGGACAAAATACTTAATATATCAAATGATAACAAAGTGAAACATCACTGTTTTGGCATAATTTAATTAGCTATTTTATAAATAGTTGCTAGGCAAAAAAATAATTCTTACATATTCACTATGTAGAGCCCCAAAGGAATTCAGCTACACAGCTATTTGGATAGCTGCATTAATTTTAAATTGAAAATAATAATGCCTTGAAAAAATAGCCTGTCACCTCACATCACCCTTAATCCAAATTAGTGAAGTTCTTAATTTCGGGTCTTTAATCCCTGAATGGGCTTTGAGGGTTTCTGAACTCCCTGAAAATGTATGCAAAATTGTATGTGCCCTTTTCTAGGAAGAGCGTACAAAATGACTTCTAAAAGATATTTAAAGAGATCTGTAAAGCAAAATAACTTCTGCTTCACTTTATTTGTATATAATTTTAATAGCAGAATATAACTTAGCAATTTAGGAAAATTCATCTTATTCTACATTCCATATTTTAAATTATATGCTTATAGGTCCTTTATGTTGGCTAGGAATAAATATACTTTTAAATGGTTGTTTTCTCCACTTTTGTTTATATGTCTTGTATTTTCCAATCTTTAAAAAATAGGAACACAGCCTATTGGGTCCCTAGGCTCAATATCTCCTAACAGTTACGGAAGTGTGAAAGACGTGTGCACTGCAAAATTTGGCTCCAAACATTTTGTTCATCTCATTCCTAATGAAGCAACAATCTGCAGCTTACTTCTCTGCAACAGAAATGACGCTGCCTGGGATGAGCTGAAGGTAGATAAGGAACTTTGAATTCCATATCCCGGGGCCGAGGGAGGAATTAGTCACTCAACAGTTATTATGATTATTTTTTCATAGCTTCCCTAGATAGTACAGAAAGCAAAAATTAAAATGATTGATGCAAAGTCACAAGTAAGCTAATTAAATGCCTGTGGCATTATAGTAAATGTGGCATGTGTTGCCATTTATTATTTCTACTATTTATTAGAAACCTAAAAGGCCCTTGACATCTGAACTTTTCTAAGAAATTAATTTGAATTGTGTAGTCTTTGATGCTAATGTGTATGAATAATTTACTTAGAAAATGAGTTCCATAGTCAATACCCATCATCTACTTCTTAGCAGAGTTTATTTTTCTCTGCCACCAAAAATACATGCAACTTTTATACAAGGGAAGTGACAATCTATGGGATTGGTCACAAGTTTTAAAGATTCGTATATGCTCAAGGATATATCCTTAGTAATGTTAAAGGTCTGTGTGTTTTTTTGTTATTGCTGGGTTATAACTGTATTATTTCCAAAAATTTTTGAAATAAATTTACTATTTAGACAAATAATTTGGGTTTTTTTATTTTTATTTTTATTTTTATTTTTTTTAGATGAAGTCTCGCTCTGTTGCCCAGGCTGGAGTGCAGTGGTGTGATCTCGGCTTACCACAACCTCTGCCTCCCAGCTTCAAGCGATTCTCTTGTCTCAGCCTCCCAAGTAGCTGGGATTACAGGCCCACGCCACCATGCCTGGCTAATTTTTGTATTTTTAGTAGAGCCAGGGTTTCACTATGTTGGCCAGACCAGTCTCTAACTCCTGACCTCGTAATCCGCCTGCCAAATCCGCCTCCCAAAGTGCTGGGATTACAGGCATGAGCCTCTGCACCCAGCAGACTGAAATAATTTTTTTAGTGGAAGTGCCAGGAAACCTCGTTGACCCAGATACTTTGAGGCCATATATTTGTGAGTCTCAATATGAAGAGCTAAGTGTATATGAAAGAAAATATTAATCTGGCTCCATGAAAACAAACTTCTGACTAAAGTATTGTCTTTAATCTCATGTATTAAATCACATGACAACCTTGGCACAACAAAAGTTTTGTTCTTTATTTTTTATCTATATGATGTGAATGTCTGATTCTGATGATTTGGGTTTTTTTCTTAGCTCACATGTCAGGCGGCACTGCATGTCCTGCAATTAACCCTCAAGGAACCATGGGCTTTGTTGGGAGGTGGCTGTACTGAAACTCATTTGGCTGCATACATCAGACACAAGGTACATAAGATAATCCTCTTTGGATTACCTGAATTCTCAGCAACTTTTGTTTTATGAGATAATAAACCAAAATCATAATATCCTATAGCCTTCTTGTTAGTTTAAACTTTTATTTTAGGTTCAGGGGTGCATGTATAGGCTTATTATATAGGTAAACTTGTAGCCTTTAACACTGAATTTTTCAGTAGTCTAAATCAAATACATAATGAAAAACACTTAAGGAAAATAGAAAGGTAAAAGGTAATATAATGATTATTATAAATATAATATTTTAGCAAATGATCACGTTGAGTGTTGTCCACATGTACTGCATGTTGAAGCTAGCATTCTGTTACTGGGAGTTCTCTTAGAGATCTCAGCTGCTGCAATACACTCATAACTGATGTTCACAAACAAAAAGGCCAAGTTTCTACAGAATACTTAAGTGTCTTCTAGAGCATCAAGAAAATACTTAATTTCATTTATTTAAGCAGTTCACATATTGGATTCTATTATAATTTTAAAATTGATATTTATGTATGATATTTATTAATTCTACCAAATAGAATTTTTTGATTAGTGTAGGAAACTCCATTTTCTGACAGCTCTGAGATAAGTTTAGTGCATTGTAATTCTAATTATTTCATAAGTACTGGCTACTGGCCTACTTTATTTGAAAATGGATATAAAAATGTATAGGTGTTTTCCAAATATTAACAATCTGTTCATTGGGTAAATATGCCCTGTCCCTCCCCAGATAACTTAGAATTCATTTGAAGATAAAGCACATTCATGAAAAGTTACCAGAATATACATATGGAAAACGAAATTTGTGCCAATCTGTTGATGCTGAATGGACACTAATGTATTTTGAAATGGACTTGAGTAAACTAGTGAAGGTTTCTTGGAGGAAGGAAGTGTCTTGAGTAAGAAAGTAGTCACTGTTTTTAAGCGGTTAAGATATGGATTTTTTAAACCATCATTCAGTTATCAGTTTGCTAATACAGACGTGTTGCTTAACAACAAGGATGTATTCTGAGAAATGCATCATTAGGCAGTTTTGTTGTGCAAAAAGTACACAAATCTACATGGTAGAGCCTGCTACACTCCTAAGCTATATGGTATAACCTGTTGCTCCTAGGCTGCAAACCTTTCCAGCATCCTACTGTACTGAATACTGTAGGGAATTGGAACACAATGGGATTTGTGTATCTAAACATATCAAAACATAGAAAAGGTTAGTAAAAACATGGTCTTATAATCTTATAGGACCATCATCGTATATGCAGTCTGTCATTGACTGAAGCATTGGTATGTGGTACATACCTATATATTATTTTTTCTGTCATGGAATTCCTGGTATAAACTTTTTTACATAGTGGGACCAGAAGACAGTTTAATGTCTTATTACCTTTTCATTAAAGAGTAGAATATTCATTTTTAAAACATTGATGTGAAAATTTACATCATGGTTTCCTAATTAAAAATATGTGCATTCTCATTTTAAACAAATCTCAAACATTTTGCAGAGATAAATAAGTACTTCATTTGGGACATCAGTCTTCGAGAACTTCCTCCTATGTGCAGAAAAACCTGTAATACATACATGCCTTGTCTTTCATGTTTTAAGGAGGCACTACCAAGCCTTATTCAGAATAAGCTGACAATGGGGTTATTCTGATTCACTCATTCTGGTAACATGACTGGTAGTATATACATTTTTACTATAACCAACCTAGTTAAGGGTTTGTAGCCTGGCCGGCTGACCCATACAAGCCCATTACAAGTGCCATACCCCAAATTAGATTAAAATAAGTAGGAACTTTAGGAATAAGGTTTTGATTCATTATCCCATTCTTTCTTAAACGTTTTATATTAATTATATGTGTTTTCAATGTTTTTATTACTCTTTAGACTCACAACAACCCAGAAAGCATTCTCAAAGACGATGAATGTACTCAAACAGAACTTCAGCTAATTGCTGAAGCATTTTGCAGTGCTCTCGAATCTGTTGTTGGCTCTTTAGAACATGATGGAGGTGAAATTCTCACTGACATGAAGTATGGACACCTTTGGTCGGTTCAAGCAGATTCTCCCTGCCTTGTAAACTGGCCAGATTTGCTTTCACAGTGTGGCTGTGGATTATACAATAGCCGGGAAGAACTCAGCTGGTCTTTCTTAAGAAGTACACATCATCCTTTTGTGCCACAAACCTGCCTTTCACATGAAGCTGTAGGCTCAGTAAGCAACCTGACCTTGGACTGTTTGACTGCTAAGCTTAGTGGCCTACAGGTGGCTGTAGAGACAGCCAATTTGATTTTGGATCTTTCATATGTTATTGAAGATACAAACTAAGAGAATAGCATGTTTGTATTACAAAAGAAACAAACTAGTCTGGTGTCAATTAAGAAAAATTGTGAGTGTATTTATTCTCTCCCAAAGGCCTATTCTACGTATTTGGACAAATGACTCATAAAATTATAGATAAACTTATTTAGGAAAAAAGATGATTCGTGAATATAAATGCCATAAAATAATAAAAATACAAAGAATTATTTATTTTAAAATATTGTAGTTATCTTAGGGATTCTAAGTGGCTGCTGTACATTTTTCTAAATTTTTGTTATTATTTTGACATCAATTTTGAGAACAAACAGAAATAAAAAAGACTTCTAATCCATGCTCCAGTTTGGATACATAGTTTAGATATTTTCTTTCTAGTTAGTAGTAATTACGTATACTTTAATAATAAAACTAGATCTCAAAGTTTCACAAAACATTCAGTATATATATTGCTCATCAATTTACAGTTAGTAAAATTTCACTTTTCACGGTGTCCTTTATCTCAGCCTAGATTCTTCAGTGGTTAGGTAATTGATGTAGAACCTGGTTTGCCTGCAATTGCTAGTTTGTATCACAGCTCCACGTTTTTGTTATTTGGGGGAAATGTTTGCTTTTGGGGGGGAAAAAGTAGGTTTATATAGTAACTAAGGCAAAAGCAACTTTGTAATGTCTTCATTTTTAAAGTGGGAGGAGGAACTGGTTTGTTTTTGACGGGGTTTTCTCAACCTTGGCATTACTGACATTCTGGACCTCGTAATTCTTTGTTGTGCGGAGGCTGCCCTGTGCATTACAGCTTATTCAGCAGCATGCCTGGCCTCTGCACACTGGATGCCAGTAGCACACTCCTGCTGTGACATCCAAAATTGTCTCCAGACATTGTGTAATGTCCCCCAAAGAGCAAAATCATCATTGGTTGAGAACCATAGACTGATAGAAAAGGAAGGACAATAAGGAGTATTCTACCAGGACTTCAGGAAGCAGCCTGAAGGAATGGAAGTTATTTCTCTAGTCAATAGTATGACAAAGAAACTAGAAAAGCTCTCATATTCAAAGTAGAGACACTACGTTTCACAAAGGGATGCAATTTGAATTTTATGCCAGTATAAGATGTACTGATAAATTGAAGAAGAAATATAGAAGGCAGCTAGATGAATACGTATGGATAACAAATGTTATATTAAACTTTAGGAAAACATTTTGGAATTTTTGGGGAAATAAACCAACCTAATAGTCAATGATCAGATCTATAGCCATGATAAAGAGAAATAGAATTATTAAGCAATCCAATATTCTTGTAATCTAAAATAATTTTACTCTGAGCCAAAGAAAAAATCACAATACAAAGAGCAATGCCATCCATACATGTTAGATATCAGCCCACCTGAGGTCTCATGGACTATTAAAAGTGTTACTTTTTTTTTTTTGAGACGGAGTTTCACTCTTGTTACCCAGGCTGGAGTGCAATGGCGCGATCTCGGCTCACCGCAACCTCCGCCTCATGGGTTCAGGCAATTCTCCTGCCTCAGCCTCCTGAATAGCTGGGATTACAGGCACACGCCACCATGCCCAGCTAATTTGTTTGTGTTTTTAGTAGGACCGGGGTTTCACCATGTTGACCAGGATGGTCTCGATCTCTTGACCTCGTGATCCACCCGCCTCCTCGGCCTCCCAAAGTGCTGGGATTACAGGCGTGAGCCACCGCGCCCGGTCCCAAAAGTGTTACTTCTTTTATTATTAGAGTCAAACAGAAGGGCAGTGTGTTAGGCAGCCTCTAAGGTGGCCCCCAGTGATCCCCACCTCCTGGTTTCAGACCTTGCATAATTTCCTCCCCTTGTGTATGGGCTGGATTTAGTGACTCCTTTATGTCTCCCATTTCCCATCTTTGTGGACAGAATGTTATGGTGATGATTATGGTTATGGCTTATCCATAATTTTATGCTGTGAGTAGAAGGCAGATGACTTGTGTCTAGTTTCATGGGTCTACAGATGGAAAGCAACTGTGCTGTAGGAACTGTGCTTAAAGAATTACCCCCTGAGGAAGCCTGGGGCGATTCCAATAATGAGATCACCCTGACTTGATTCCAATTATGAGATTCTGAACTTTGAGCTTACGTTATGCAAAAGTAAAACTTTTGAGGATCTGAGGAGTCGGGGGAATGTATTTTGCATGTAGTAGACAGCCTCTAAGATGGCTCCCAGTAATCCCATTTCCTGGCAGTCCACCCTCTGGGTGCAGGTGGGACCTAGTGACTAGCTTCTAATGAATAGAATACAATGAAAGGGATGGGATGTCACTTCTGATATTTGGTGGTAAAAAGATGAGTTTATCTTTTGATATCTTCTCTCTCAATGAAAGCCAACTGTCGTGTTGGGAACTGCCCCCTGGAGAGGCCTACATAGCAAGGGTTGAGGGAGGCTTCTAGCGAACAGCTCAAAAGGAACTGAATCCTACCAACAACCACAAGAGTGAATTTGGAAGCAGGTTCTCCCCAGTGGAACACTGAGATGAGTGTAGCCCTGCCGCTGGAGCCGCAGGAGAGACCCTGAAGCAGAAAAGCCAGCTAAGTTGTTTCCAGGTTGGTTCCTGACCCACAAAATCTGTGAGATAATAAATGTTGTTGTAAGTCAAATTGGGGTGTACTTTGTTATATAGCAATAGATATCTAATAAAGGCAAGAGGGAAAGCTTATTCGTAATAAAGTGTTTACTGAAAACCTAGTCACACAAATGGAAAAAAGCATTCTTGATGCCATGCCTTTGCATTTTCATCATCTCCCCAAACCTAAAAGAAGGGTTCTTCATGACATGTGTTTACAATGGTCACTGAAGAAGGTGTGTCACATAGGAGTTGGGAATTGTCCTGGTTCTCCTTGTCCTTATCCTGCATTGTTTCAAGCTCCTACAAGAAGGGGTGACACTGTTAACCTCTCCAACTGATCTTATAGATTAGCGGTTTCCACTTTTCATGATAGTGATTTTTTTAATTCTGTCATTTTTAGTTTTGCCATAAAATTCGATGAAACATCAATGCTCTTATTTTGAATATATCACAAATTAGTTATATTTATAAATGCCTCTGTGTTTCCTAGAGTTGTAATAATCCTTAGTAGAAAACACTGGAAATAGAGTAAAAGAAACCTTCCTCTATAGTTCAAGAAAATCAGCATTCAAGCTTAGATGATAAAACATGAAATGAAAATTCTTGATGAAAATAATTTCAGAGGCGTTCCTTTTGGCAGAAATAAATGATGGGTAAAAATAGCAAATAAGGTAAGCCTTAGGCAGTGTTTTGTGACTTAAAGTAAGATTGAGGTCTGAATACTGCATTAGGAAGTACCTCAGGAGAGAGAACAGGAAACCCTGATAGCTGTGAAAAGTAAAGGGCGAGTGTGCAGAGGAGAATGAAGTCAGTGACAGCTGTTCAGTACTCTCGTGGGACTCTCAGGACATGTAGCATTAAACACTATTGAACCATAGGAGTCCAAAAGGATTATCATCTTATTAATCAAAAGACGTTAGGATTTTAGCAGCAAGGAAAAACGTGGAGAGCTAAAGCAAATTAAAGGAAACTTTTAATCGAATACTAATTTGGTCTTAAAGATATCTTCTTTAATTCTTCTATTTGTACTCTATTAGAGAGTCTTTACATGTGAGACATTGTAAATCAACCGTTAGACTGAAGCATTTTATATAAGGGAAGTATTTTACACAAGATATTTAAACTTCATGTCATTAATATCTTTTATCATAGATATCCTTGAACTCATTTAGTTTGTATAATCAAAGCTACCTAGGCATTTACATGACAGACAAGAAATTTTAGTTACCCATAAATCAGCTATTGTACTCTGTATTTTCATATTGTTGAACAGTTATTTGGATAACTTAAAAATAAAATAATATTGTTTACAGTCACATACTTTATACAGATTATTTAAAATTATCATGTACAAAAATCAATGCAGGCCTTAACAAAACATACGATTAGTTAGGTTGTTCCTTCCTCATAATCTTTGGGGAATAGTCAAAGAGACTAAATGTCTCCTACAGGACCCGGTGTCAGCTGTCTAAATAAAGCTATCTCTTAATCAGAAGGAAATTTTGAATATAATTTTTTTCATGTAGCTGAGTGCTTCCATTTAGTGTCTATAACATCCCATAATGAAAATTTTTGCCAGTCATCTACAGAATTTGAATTTTGATGGACCTAAGCCCAGTGTTAGCCTACTTTGGGATTATAAGTAAATTTATATGCTGCTTTATTAAGAATATAGTAATACTCACAAAAGAGAATGAAATTCCTGAAAACTATTCCTAAATGTAGATAAAGCTTTTTGCTGGAGAGATTATTAGACTTGGCTCACTAAAAGCCATGGAATACTATTATCTGTAATAAAGTGTGAATTTAGCGGGAAATAAAACAGCTTGACAATCTCCTATTAAAAATTCTGAGAAAATATTTATGATAAATATCCTATTTTAGCCATCTTGATTTTTTTCAAGTATTGTGATTTCATTTTGGGAAGTATTGAGATCTTTCTGTTTGCCAGATAGGATAGTTAAGCACATTGGTGGTGAGAAGAAAAAACAACACAGAAATTTGTTTGCAGTCTCTGGCTTCAAGGAGGCCAAGGTACCAATCTACCCAGGGAGATTTTTTTTAATTATTAATTTTATAAGTTAAATATGTTGTAATAGAAAACTGGGAAAATATGAATCAGACACCCCCCACACACACAATATAGTCAAGTGTATTCCTACTATCACCAGAGATAACCACTGTTTACATTTTCTATGTATCTTTTCAATTCTTTTTCTGCATGTTTTTTCCAAAAAGATGATCATACAATATGTTCTATATTTTATAATCTGTTCCTTTTACTTAATATGTGATGAACATCATACACATGTAGAATTCTACACATTCAATTGTTACATCATTTTTCTTTTAACTTTTATGGGTACATGGTATGTGTATATATTTATGGGTTATATAAGATATTTTGATGCAGGCATGCAATGTGTAATAATCACATCAGGGTAAATGGAGTATATTACATCATTTTTAGTGCCTGAGGAAATTTCAGTTACAGAGATTATGCCGTAATTTAGATACTAAACTGGTATTAGTAAACCTTTAGGATGCTTTCACAATTGTTTGTGTTAATATAAGCAACAATGCAGTGAACATGTTGTGTATATTGTTTTCCAATATCCCTGATGATTTCTTCATAAATAAATATAATTCAGATTTCTGGGTCCAAGTGTATTGGAAATGAAAAGACTATATATAATCTACCCCCAGTAATTTTTATAAAATATAAATTTTAAAAGGAGAGTCCAT